GATTTTACCCTCTCACTAAGATTGCTGAGAATGCCGGGTTTTGATGAGTTGTGCATGTTCGTTAGGTCGGGAAGGAGTTGTATTCCGACAATGGGGGAAATTAGGAATGCACGAATCTTAGCCATGAGGAGGTGGGTACGCATCAACCACTACTGTCACACTCCTCAAGTTGCCAGTTCGAGACCTTACTAAGGCCTCAGTAAGGCAAAAAACTCAACAAGACCTCAGTAAGGACTCAGTATCAAAATTGCTGGAACGAGGCCATCGGCGCATTTGACGTTCAGTTCCTATTGTAACAACAAGCATGGTTGCGGCTTGAAATACATTGAAAGTAGTTTTCTCACCCTTGGCAGCAACAAGTTTCCCGGAGGCAAGGCAAGACTGGCTTTGAGGTGCTACCGAGTGCTAAGTGAGCACTGTGCAGCTAGTAAGGTCTTAGCAAGACCTTAGTAGGGCCTCAGGGCTCTCAGAAAGGGGGGGGACCCCCCCTTAGGGGGGGGGGTAAGTAAGCCATGAATAACAATTTGTAGGTGTCCCAGCTTGTTGCAACAAGTGCAACTTGATCCAAAACAACAAGCCAAGCTGGCTGCACTGCTGCCGCAATTGTTGGCAACACGCCGCCGGCCGCACGAAATCGTTGTTCAATTAGTGAAGCTTCTGCCTTGACAAACCAAAATGTCGCCGCTGGATCTGAATTCTGTACGCTTCGAAAATCGCGGCATTCCGGCACAAGCCATGCAACCACATACCGTTCAGCTGTTCCCCAAGCGCAAGGCAAGTGCCGTGGCCTGACGACCCGAAGCAAATGCGGAAATACTCAAGTGTTCTGCGCTTAGAAGAACTTTCCGCACAACACCCGTGGCAAGCTTCACGTTCAATAGTGCTGCGTACAACATTGGTCTAAAAAACGAGAGCAGCTCGGTTAGACACATTCCTGCCCGAGGACCCGGCCACTCGTCCTGCTAGTGGCTCGGGGCCTTGGTGCAATATTTGGTCGTGCGGGTTAAGGAGGCTCTAGCACGGCTCAGGAAACCAGGCAAAGTCTGTTGGACGGGAGGCATGTCCTTTTACATCCAACCTGATCGCAATCCGGGGGCCTCATCAGAATCATAATCCGCAATCTGCTTGATCTCTCTTCTCGCCTCCAGTCAGCCTCGCTGAAAGTGCGAACGCATCCCCCAGACTGGGGGACCCTGTGCGCTTGACGACTGTCTCCAGTACCAACAACGGCTGCGTGGGCGTGGCCACTGCGGGAAGACAACGGTGCAAGTCCACCAAAGGTGCAAGGACAAGAGGGGCGCATTGTCGACCTGGCCCACAGTGAGACTCCTCCCTGCACGTGCGTTGGCAGCCTTGCCCAAAGCGCAAAGCTGCAAAAACAAGGCTCGCGTAGGCAACTCAATTTGCGACGACTTTCACATCAGCTATGCTCGAAAGGCCCCCAATGCTGAAAAAGGTTTTTACAACTGGCTTCTTTTTGTTGACGGTCGCCTTGGGTTCCCTATTTCATACATTCATACAATGCGTTGTCTTGAAAAGTCCATTCTCTTTGGAGCCTTCTTTGACTTGACAAGCTACATGGGCCTTGTAACATGGTCACTGTTCAACCCCAGGCCCTAGAGTTCTGCTTCTGCTAGGCAGGCGGGACAGGTTTTGCGAAGCTTCGGGCCATATTATAACTCTGACCATCTCCGTCCCAGAGCTGTCTATCGCCGCAGGCGGCCTAAAGGTGGGTGTCTTCAATATCAGTTGGGCATCCCTCCAAGCCTACCACACAAACCAAGGGGCCCCAATGAAGCGCCTGACGGCTTGACAAACATGACGCTTCGTGAATTGCCATGTGTCTGTTGGAGTGAAATTGCGAGAATTGCAAGTCTACCTGAATGGCATTGACTCAATGGTCAATGGCTACAAGTAGAAGATGGAAACCTACAAGCGCTACAAGCTTCAAAGGCTAGAGTGACGCCTTCGCTGAGAGCCGTTGTCCTCGCGGGCTTGCGGTTTTTCCTGATCACGAAGGCTGAAGCAAAAGCAACAAAAAACCTTCTGGAATAACACAGCTCATCTTGGCCCCTTGGCAACTCCCAGTAAATTAACGCGGCCCCTGTTGCCCCCCCCCCCCCGGTGAGCAATACTGGTGCGTTACTTGCAGGCCTACTGGTCAACATGCGCACAAAAAGTTTAACGAGGCGCCAGGCTGCGAGAACCGCATCACCGGCCCAAACCGATCAATGTAGTCGACTCGCTGGGAAGCTGGCGAGTGCTTGGATCTTTGCGGAAAATATTCCTGACCTGGCACGTGCTGCAAAGGCTCATTCACCAATAAATTTTAAGCAATTTCAGCATGGTTTTCCTTCCCTTGGCAAAACACCTGTCCTGCCTGCTTACAAACACCTAGATCAGAAGCTCTGCAACTGCAGACGTTAATCTGATCGCGTTTCTTTCCTACATGTGGTTTTCGCGCAACCTTGCCAACGCGACCATCGTGCCATGAACGGCTGGTCCCAAACCTCGAGCATCCAGGCCAGCGCTGGCCCCTTTCCAAGTTAGCCACTCTCCAAGCTCGCCAGAGCTGCCCAGCCCAGAGGTTTCAGGCTGCGTAGCAGCCACTCAGACCTCATCCGATTCCCGAATGGCGGAGCAAAACGCAAAATAGTGCCAACGGCTCCGCGCGCCACACGGCCCAACTCAACTTCAAACTCCTGGCAAGGGAAGACCAGCGCAGAAAGGCAATTGTTGATTATTGCTTGTACGACTGCTGCCGCCTTAGAAACGAGGGCATAGTAAAACAAGGGCCAGGAGGAAAACAGAACAGCAACAAAAACAGCAAAGAAAGGCCAGGAGAAAAAGGCCAACGAAAGCAGCGAGAAGCACAAGGCAAAGGGATGAGAAACAGCGCTCAGGAACTAAAAGTCAACGAAGCAAAGGTGAAGACAAAGATCGTAGGGAGGGAGGGAGGGAGGGAGGGAGGGAGGGAGGGAGGGAGGGAGGGAGGGAGGGAGGGAGGGAGGGAGGGAGGGGAGGGAGGGAGGGAGGGAGGGGGAGGGAGGGAGGGAGAAAGATATTGATTCTTATACAACACCATAGAGCCAGCGAAGTCGGTGGCCGGAAACTTCTAGACATGTAAAACTAATTTCGTCTCATCTTTCTTTATGTCTTTTCTTTATTCTTTCTACTTCTTTTTACTTTTTGTTCTTCTTTGTTCTCGTGTATTTATCTTTCTTTTATCGTTTCTTGTTCATCTTCTTTCTCGTTCCTCTTCATCCTTTCTCTTCTCTTGCTTTATCTTTCTCTTTCCTTTTCTCTTCTCCTTATCTTTTCTCTTTGTCTTTTCTTTCGCTTTCTTTTTGCTTTTCTTTCTCTTTCTCCGTCTCCTTTTCTCTCCTTTTTTGTCTCTCCCTGTCTCTATTTCCCTGTCTGTCTCTACCTTGCCAAAGTGCGCCTGCCACAAAACGCGCACCTGACCTTGTGAAAAAGCGCTGCGCGTGCCACGAAATCTGCACCGCACCTTGCGAAAGCGCGGCGCCTGCAACGACATCTGCGCCCGACCTTGCGAAAGCGCTGCTGCACCTGCCACGAAAGCCGTGGCCGGCCTTGCGGAAGTGCTGCAGACCCGCCAAAAGCCGCTCAAGGCACTCTTTTAGCGATTTCTATTTCCCCGCCACACGCCCACGCGTGCTTCCTCGCATGCATTCATGCTTTCTTCGCCTGATCTGTGTGCAGACTATCTGCTTGCCAGCTTTTCGCGCGCGTACCTACATGTCAAGGGGTTTCTGCACCAGGGAAGTTTCTCCAAACTTCAAGCGAAAAAAACGATAAAGCAACGAACAAACAAAGAAAGAAAGCAAGCGAAACCGAGAACAGGAAAGGACAAGGAAGAAAACGAAATAACGTAAAAGCGACTTTTGCCAAACAACGCGAAGAAAGACGCGGGAAATGCCACAAAGATCAAAAGACCGGGGATAGAAGGCGAAACTCCAAGAAAAAGCAACGGACCGCGGTCGACAGCAAAACGCGCAAGATTGGCAACGGGGAGGCCCATTACCTATCGCGCCCGCGGCCAGTGACAAATTGTGGAAGGCCACGTGCGTTGCTTTAAGGGTTTTCTGGGCACATGCTTCTTCTTGCATCTTCAACCACCCGAATCACGGCGCGCGTTTACGAAAGGCCGTTGAGGAACGTTTGTGGAGATTTGTAGAGTAGCTTTGCCTGCGTTGCTCCCTCGCCTTTGCATGTGACATGCAGGACGCGTCCGCTTCTAAGTCCATGAGCGCATTCTATGATATTCTATGCCCAACCGGCCTGAAACATCAAAGCCAAGCTGTTGAAACCTTGGCTCATGAAAACAGGCTCTGGAAAACCAACACGTGAAACAGTCGGCTTTAGGAAAGTAATTGAGCATTGCCTGCCGGTGCCATGTCGTTGATCACCCATTCCCTGCATAGATTTGGGCGAGGCTTTTCAAGAACTGGCCAGGCGGGTAGCAGGAATATCCATCCTGGTGGCATCCCTCGAGAGAAACTCGCAAACAGCCATTCTGCAAAGGGGTGGCCAGGGAGAAACATCAGCAAAGCAAGAGCACAAAAAATAAGCCATCCCCTCCACCCCCCACCCCGCCAGGGTTCCCTAGCCTCCTAAAGTCTTGCGGCAGAACCCCTGCAAGAAACTGAAGAATTCCGTTTTCCATGAGTTTGGCCAACTGGAGAAGTTTGATACCAAATCAACTCATCGCATTGAATGGGTTGGGGGAGCACAGGACATATCCTAGGCGGATGTCGGGCGTGGCGGTTGGGTGCCCTTCTTGCACATCAGTACTGGTGACCCCCCAGTGTTAGCTCGCAAGACGTACAAAACTTAAACGTAGCGTTTCTTGGAAGCATAACTTAGCAACTTAACCAGAAGCGATTGCGGCCGCGCAACAGGAACTCAGGAATCATAAGCACATCATTTGTTGGCAAAGGGCGCCGCTATGTTCACTTGGGAATTGGCGTAATTCGGGGTCAGCAGTAAGCGCTGGGCTGGTCCAAGTTGTGATTGATGGCATCAGCATCGGCCTGGCAAAAACACGTGCGCCGCAGCCCTTTGTGCAGCATATATAGCAAGCAAGTTCCAGCCTCCCGAAGGCGCTTGAGAAGCAGAGAGGAGGCAGGACAACCGCCAATGACACATGCCCTTGGTTTGAAATTGACGCCAGGAACACATGCCAAAAGCTTCAAGATGCACAATGCTGATGAAGATTAACATCCAATACATCCAAACACCAACACCCGTCAAACACTTCCAGCCAAAGAATACACACATTTCCTTTGAGCACTCTTGGCGAAACTCTCCCCTCGCTCTCTCTCTCTCTCTCTCTCTCTCTCTCTCTCTGGTTGGGCGGATTCCCTTGAAATTAGCATGCCAGAATATAGGGGCCCCTGCAAATGAATTCTTACCTTCAGGCATCGACCCCCATTTGTTCGCACGCCAAACAAACCATATTCACTGTCTCCAATCTTGGAGAATATCCATGAAGGAGATCTTGCTGTTCAAAGTAACCCGGGTGTCCTTTTGCAAATAGATGGCACTGGCAGCTAAATCGCAGGGCCGCCCATTTTCAACCAAACCGGCCTAGAACACTACCTGCGAGCCTCAATTTCAAATAGGCCGTCCCCACCTTGATGCGATTCAGCTGCTCTGTCTGTCCCTGCAAGGCAGGCAGTTAGTTCCCGCAAACCAAGGCAAAAAAACATGTCTGTCCCAGTTGCAAACACATTCAGGGAAACAGCCATCCCTGCGATTTGGGATAAAGAGACCGTATGGACTGGCTTCTAAAGTGGTGCATGGTTGACGCATGGCATGGTTGGGCGTGTATCCTTTTTGTTGTGGCTGAAAGCGAACCAAGCGGATACCACTCATTTTGTGGGGCGCCCTATGTTGACACACACGTAGCGCTTCTGATGGCATTCTGAGCTGGGAGCATGCAGCGTGCTCAGGACGCCTGCCATCGTGTGTCCGGTTGGCAATTTTGGCTCGCTGACTAGGGGGCCAATCATGTGCCCGTCGGCAGGTATTTCAGGTAACCTCCTGGTACGTCTACATATATATATATATGGTCACCCCCCCCTGCATGACATATATATATATATAATATATATATATATATATGTATATACGGAGTTGTTCCCCCTTTCTCTACCCTGTGTGTACCATTTTGCGTATTTGTGGGCTTTCGTAGTATTTGACAAGGCCACCTACGCGGTGCTGTACATGCGTGCGCACCCAAGATGAATCAAGCCAGCGCCCTGTAAGACCCTATCATGTACGGGGTGGAACCGGCAAGGAACGAGACGTTGCGAACTTGGAACCACAGGCAGCAGCAGCCAGATGGCCTTTCGATCCTCCCCTCACGTTCACTCATCTCCGAAAGCCGGCCAGTGAGGGGGCAACATCGTGGGCATCAATTTGCAGACCTAGCCCAACTGGAGAATTCTCAAGTGTGCGAGGCTCTGTGCATCATTCATGCAAAAGATCGCTAACGCGTAACGAAGTAGTCCGATTCAAACCCCGACCGCAATTTTCAGCCGGGCCCAGCAAATGCCATTGAACCATTTCACCGGAAACACATGCCAGGTCTTGGCATTCGAGTCGATAGCCTTCCGGGTCTATGGCATTGACCCCTCAACCTTCCCCAAGGCCTAGTACCAAGCAAATTGAAATGGAGCCCCAAAAAAGGTGCCTCCAAAAGAGGCTTCCTTAGGATCGAAATAAGGCAAACAACGGGTTTACATGTTCATCTGTAGGGTGTACATACAACTGGGCCTTATCATCTGGACTCGCCCAATAATATGAAACAAAGGGAGATATCTCTACACTGTAGGGGCGTTGCACGATCTTGTAGAGGTGCATCTCAACCCAGGGTTCTAGTGACTGCGGAAGGATACAATAACGCAAAATGGTCTTGTGGTCTGCCTTGAGTAGGGCCAAGAAATGGAGAACTACACCTGACGCCCATGAAGCACCGCTGCAAAGGCGAAGACTCGACTCTGAAACCGTGTCTGGCAGACGGTTCGAGGTGTCATCCGCATCGGCCAGCGATCGAACCTGACATGCAGCGGAAGCTTGGTAAGGGGTGAGAAACGCCGTGTCTGCGCTCAAATTGGGGACCCTCAACCTGTGGAGACTCAAGCATCGGTAAATGTGTCGCGGCTTCGTGGAAACATTGATTTCTTAGGGGTATGCCGCCAAAACATCGTGTTTCCCAGAAAGAAAAAAAAACATCGTGTTTTCGGCGCAATCGATTCCCAAGCTTTCCTGCTTCTCTGCCTGAAACGACCATGCTTGCACACTCCAAACCGGCATACCTTTCAAACATTAGCGCTGGAGAACTGGAGAAACATTCAGGCATGGCCCATGTATGAAACCCGTTGTACCCGTGGGAAAAACATGGGCTCCGGCACCCCCAAACAACAAGTGTCAGCGAGGTTTCTGTGTCCCTCTTGACGCTGCCAGTCAAATTTGGTACACATAGCAGGTGTGCTGACCTAACTTTGCAAAAGCAGACACCTGCCAGCGCTTCCTCTCAAGTTATTTGAAGGGTTCTCGAGCGTGCCCTAGCTAGCTCCTTCAAGGATTGAAAGGCGTGGTTTTCTTCAAAAGCTGAGGTCGGCCGAGAAATAATTTATTGTTACGGAGGCAGTTGCGTTTGCACAGTTTTGTTTCTTGAAAGCCTGTGTATTTCCTGTAAATCACTCGATCTCAAATACCACGTATTTCCAGGAAAAACATTGTGTGTTGGGGTATGACATGTTTAGAGGTTGTTGGGTCTCCTGGAAGCTGGTGGTTTTCCTTTTGAACTTCATTTAAACCAAACAGGGTCACTAGCTTTCGATCGACACATTCCCAAGGCGCAATGCTCCCATGCACCTTGCTGATGGCTCTCAGGCCTATAGGGCACCCATGCACTTTAAAGTCACAAAAGGAAAATCTTCAAATTGGGACTGTTTCGCGGCTTGCTTTGTAATTTTGGGACGCGAGTAATCGGTTACCCTTTCTTTTGTTTGGGCAGGGGAAAGCCAGGGCCCCCCTGTCATCCCCTGTCCACCCGTGATACGCTCGGGCTGGGCCCTGGGCGGTGCTGGCGAGCAGCTCCGCTTCGGTGCCTCGAGGCGGACGGATGTGAAAAGGGAAGCGCAATCTTCGAGGCTTAGAAATCATCCCAACGCTGCCACCGAACCTTGGGCGATCTTGGGCGTTGCCGTGCTGCCTTGCTGCCAAAACATCGACTTTGTTTCGATTTTCTGTGCGTTGGCTAAGTCGCCGAAGGCATGCCGGCTTGCCCGGCAAGACCCGTGGTGTTGCCGGACAATCACTTTGCGGGGACTTGCACTGACGACAACTCGCAAGGCCAATCTCTCGAAAGCCGACGGCTCAGAGGACAGCACGGCCGTCGGAGGATTTCAAACCGACAGCTCGGTCCCCATAGCTCATGCCTCACGCGTGATCCGGCCAAGCGGCAAAGAAAAGCAAGCTGGACATATGCCCTCTTTTCTTTACTGGCAAAGGGGACATGTACCTGGGTTGTTCAACAGCAATCTTAAATCCTCATGCCAAGTCAGCTCTTTCTGGCCGCTCCCTCAACACAAGGCAAGGAAGCCATTCTGTATAAACAGGTGTCAAGCTAGAGGTACCCGCTCTGCTGTATCTGACATAGGTTCATTTCATTGAAGGATGGGAACAGAATACGCATGTTTTAACATGGATAATGAGGAATGGACATTTGCCTCGAGGTTGCGTGCGAACTCTTGAAATAGAAGGCAGGTGAGCAACACACAAGCGTGCCAAAATATCTGGAAAAAACCCTTCACTCCTGATCTCTGTATGCAATGCTCCAGCCGTCTGCTTGAAACCAACTAGGTGTAAAACATTGACAAGCCCCCAATTATTTGAATGCCTGAGGGCATGACTTTTACGCTGCCTGCTACCAACGAATGGCCCAAGTTACCAAGCACCCTGCGCAAAGACATGTGATTTGAAACTGAACATTGGACATTGGTCCAACTTGGGGTTCGATCCCCCAAAGTCGGTTCGTTCTTTTACTAGGCATCCTGCAGTCCAATGGCCAACTGGGCAGGAGCTGCAGTTATGAGTCATCCGAACTTGTACAAAGATTGGAACTGTTTGCCAGAAATACATGCTTCCCTGCATGTGCAATGGCAAACGGTCATGAGTGTCGCAAACCAGCCCAGCCCTGACAGCACGGGAGCCGACCCCCGCCCCCCCGCCACACCCCACACATGTGCCAACCCAAACATGTGCAAATGCACCTGACTGAACCTCCAAGATTCTCATCGAGGAAGGGGACTATCACTCCCCGGCTTGTCCCACAATCCTGCAACCCTTTCCCCCACAAGGCAAAAGGCCAGCTGTCGGAATGAAATTCACGCCTTGGTTTTCTAGGGGTATTCCATGGCCCCGCTGAAGAATAGGCACCACAGCATGTTTCTGGCTAAAGCGTAAAAACAGCCTGCATGTGGAAAACCAGTCGTGCCCAGGGCCAAGGTCGAACCCCTTGCTGCGCCAGCAAAGCGCCACACTGCACCCATGGCACACCCAGTGTATCACTTCCATGGTCCCCCCCTTTCCGTTCAAACAACTTGAAAGACTCAAAAAGAGGAGGGCCTGGACATGTCTTGTCCATGGGATCCATGCCTTCACATGACCAACCCATACGTCTTACAGTATGAACAGGTAAACCTGGCTTAAACAGCATTCCCCTCCAGAAAGTCCCCTGGCGGGTGGTTTCAACGAATATATGTTCATTTTTAAGTTGCAATATTGTTCAAGTTGGCGTACCTCTCCAACAATGATGGAAGCTGACGGAGAATTTTGGGAGACCTCTTTCATTGTTTGGGGGGGCTCCATGTGAGAAGAGGGCACCACCCTCGACACCGAGTTCACCACCCAACCCCGAGGCGTCCGCCTCTTTGGCGGAAGCCAAAGGCTTCCAAAGGAACGAGACCACTGAGCCAAAGCGCAGCGTTGCAGCTCGCAAGATGGCTCTGCAACTCCTCCCCCCGCCCACGTTGCCACACAGGCTTCACCAGCTGGAATGAGAGAAGAGCGAGGAAAGCTTGGTCAGACAGTTGGCCCGCCCTGCAGTCGGCTCCTTTTGTCTCGCTGGCTTCTGGTCAGCCTTGCCTTTGGCCAGGCTGCGTGTGTGTGACAAAGAATCTTGAAACAGTTTTGGCAAGCCACAAGGGTATTTGTAGATGATGAATTGAGAGTCCGGCAGCCTTGTATTTCTTCACTTGCAATTTGTTTTCCCCTCTTGGGGTGGGGGCACGGGCCTGCAAAAGGGCAGCACTGCCAAACTGCAGCACTGCCAAGGTGCGGCACTGCAAGCGCAAGCGCTTGTGTGCCCGGGAAACCGCACCAATGTCAGTCATTTGCAATGAAACTCATTTCAAGTCTGCAAATTGCAAATGGCCTCAAAATGAACGATTCTGCCATCCCAGGTAGGTTGATGCCCTTAAATTTGCAAGATGGAAACTGATTTACTTGCAACATTCGGGACATCCACCGTGTCACCGGTCGCCCGCGCTTTTGATCGCGCGACGCATCGGTAATTCCATCTTTGGCGCGGGGCTCCAGTGGCGAATCCGCGCCCTGAGGTCGGTTGTGTTTGGCGGCCAACAGGAAACAACCTACAAACCTCCACGGCAGGCGCGGGTTGACACGTCCCTGCTGGACCTAAATCATTGTGAGCTCATTTTACTCCCAGGCCCGCAATGAAATAGGTAAAGGAATGCACCTACCATGGCACCAAGGGCCGACCCGGAAACGGATTTAGCCACCGAAGCGCGTCAGAGCTTCCTGGCGCGAGCGGTTGTTTTCAAGCCCCCCTTGAAGCCTTCCTTAAAGCCTTCTTGAAGGCGCTTATCGCCCACCTTCAGCTTCACCTTCAACTTGCAGCCTTCCCCCCAAACCGCAATCCATAGTGGCATCAGGGAACCATTGCCACCTGACAAAAGGATTGGGGTTGAATTGAAGCTGGAACAACCCGATGTTAGATAGGCTTGAACATGCCAGGTGTAAATCGACGAGCAACAGGAAGATCCACTACAGATCACTACACATATCCAAACCATCACCAGTCACTGCGGAATCTCACTCAGCATTGCCGAACCCAAAGTGATGCTTGCGAAACGGATGCAGCAACCTGGGGACCCCTTCCCAAGTGCAACCCCCCAGGAAGCGAAAGGAAAACGAGCCCTTAGTTAGAGTTGTCGAGAATGTTTTGGCATACGTACAATGGGTGATATTGGGATGATCCGTCAAAAGCGAGGTGAAGCATTAAGTTCAGCATGCAAAGCCAACGACATAGGCATGTATTCGTGCGTGTTGGAACTGCAACAAACCGCCTGAGGCAAGGTTGTTAATGGCTTGATTTCCCAAGAGCAAATGTGGCATCTACTTTACCTTGCTTCATGCTGCCATGCCAGGCCTTAACCCTGCGCTCTTACCTTGCTAGAAGCGTGTCGGAAGCTTGAGCTAGCGTCCGTGGTGCAAGGCCAACACACGGCCCCGCTGACCTTTACGGATGACAGGGCTGGGACCCAACGAGAAGAAAAGAATAATGGCCAGCACTTGAACAGTCTTGGGTCCTCAGTTAGGCTTTACGCGGCAGGAAATAGCGGAGTCACAGAGCGGAGCGAAGAGCGGAGCAAAAGGCAGAGGGAGTGGGGCCAATTGTGGGGAGAAGGGCCGAGAAAAGAGCAGCAGGGAAAGAGTGGGTGGGAGGACTGCGAAGAGAGGAGCGAAGCAAACAATGGCATGGGCAGAAGAGAAGAGCAGAGAAGATAGACGAAGAGTAGGAAAGAAGAGCGGTGTGAAGTCTGGGGAGAAGTGGGGGAGAGGGGCAGGAGAGGGTGAGGTTGTAAATTAGTGTTTGGAATCAATTGTACAATGTGCCACAATCGATACCTACAGGCAATACACAGGCCCTGAGCCAAGAGGCGGATTGCTTCATGCGTGGAATACTGTGAATCAAGCACGCAACAACAGAAACGAAACACACAAACTTCTTTCAACTCGTGGCATCATTAACTCCTAAAAGGAATTCCGCCATAGAGTGAGTTTATCACTCGGCTCAAAAGCCTTGGTTATGCGGCATAGTGCAGTGATAGCACATCGGAAAGTTTTTCCGTAGCCATCTAAGTTAATCGGTTATTCCGATAAACAAAGAGGCACGCTACCTTTTGCACGAGCGCATCTGGAGTCGGTGTTGGTGTGTTGAGACGTCTGAATACGTACCCGGTTGAAATACGATAGACAGTGACTACTAAGAAAACCATGGAACGAAATTCCGGAATGCCTGGAAGCCAATAGAAATGGAAATGCAAATAAAATGGTGATTGTGCCATTAAGATGTCAGTGGTTGCCATTGGACACTCTTCAGCTGGAATATCCCCGTCCGTGTTCCTGTTGTCTCTTGCGTTTCAGCTTCTCCTCGAACATCTTCAGATTGTCTGGCTTCTTGGTACGACTGTTGCGCAAATCAACTCTTCTTCCGTTTTAGGAATCGTGAGTTGCGGCGGTGTTGCTATGTCCATTTGAACAAGCTCTGCTGGCCTGCGTCCGAATTGAGTGGAATCTGGACTGCTCACCTGACATGCAGCGATGCCGCAGGTGAAGTTTCCTTAGTTTTGAAAGTTGTGCGTGCGTGCGATTGAGCGCAAGTGGCAAAGTAGCTGGTGTTCCAGGTGGGGCATCTGCTGATGCTTCTTGTGTTGCAGCAGGGTCTGCTGGCTCATTGGCCCGGCCTGGCGCTGGAATGATCCTGTCTGCTGCGTTGTCTGCGTGCGTTTGCGCTGCTTTGAGTGGTTTGTCAGAGAACTTGAAGGCTGTGGTTCCTGTCCACAACTCTGGTGTTGTCTTTGGCGAAGTTGCCTTGGTTCGCCAATTCTTCTGGATTGATGATAGGGGTTCCTTGGTCTCTGGTTGGCATCGTCTTGTGATTCGCTGGTTGGATATGCGTGTGTGAACAATGCTCTCCTCTTGGACACATGAACTCTTTGGAGTTCCTTGGGGTGAGATTTTTTTTGCAGCGGTCGTTGTTGACACCTCCGATGATCTCCGTCGTGTCTGCTGCCGCTGCCTCGGCTGGATGCAGCGAGCAGTGGTGGGTATGCAACTGGCTTCATCTTGTCGTCCTCGCATGCCTTATTTGCCAGCCTGCGATCGTGTTGTCTGCAAAAGTCTGCTAGATCAAGCAATGCGTGGCCAGTACTGGACACCGGTATGGGCTGTCGAATGGTACCCCATGCCTTGCGTGTGATCTTGTCACATTGAGAAGTGTGTTCAATCGTCATGTGAAGGTTCTGCATCTGATCAACGCTAGGCAAAGTCCGAACGTGTCCTTGCTCAAGAGTATTCCAGTCAACCTTTGAGGTTTGACCAGTGGCAAAGGTGAACCTTGTGTTGTACGGGATGACTCGTACTTCATCCGGTGAGGACATGGTTGAATTGTCTTGGCGCATACCAACTGCATACCAACTGCCCATGGACTTAGTGCAACCGTTGTCAAGAGTGACATGGGTTGGATTTTCGGCCTGCTTGATGGCCAAAGCTTAAGCTCGATTTGGTGTCGCATGCAGGATCATGTCGCAGGGCAAGCTCTTTTGGGCGACTAACATCAACTTCTTCGGTTCTCTCTCTCTCTCTCTCTGTCTGCCGTTGTTCAATTTTTCCTGAGCGGTCAAGTTGGGGTAGTCTGGATCGGGCACTATGGGCGCTGCTGCTCCTCGCAGCAGTCCCTGCATGATGGACACTACCTCGGCAAATCTCTAAGTATGCCGTTCACACATCCTTTGCTTCGAGTCATTGACGTATACTCTGGATGAATCTGAGTATACTCTGGAGCTGTGTCTTCCCAAGATGCTCGCGGCCTTCGCAAGTAAATCCCGAATTTGCTGAAAGTCACAAAATGTCACAAACTCACCGTTACCTCGGCGATGATTGAAGAAACTAGGAATTCATGAAGGAGTTCATGCATGAATGCATTCTGGGCGCCCTTCAGGAAATAGCCGCGTAGCAAGTTGAGAACATTCTCCACTCCGTTTTCTGGATCTGTGAGTTTCTCGTTGCCCAGAAGCTCGCGGTGTATGGCTGCGTCCTCGACGAGCCGGCTCTTGAGAAGGGAGCCTTGCAGGCCTCTATTACTGTTGATGTAATCCAATCCCGTACCAGATCTCCATACCGAAGCCAACTAACACGGCCGTCATCCGATGGAGGCAATTTTGCGTTCATCGAAAGGTTGATGGTCTCTTCATGGGAACTCACGCCGTTGTGACGGCTTCCTTAGAAAGCCGCTGCGGGCGGTTCTGCTCCATAAAAGTTCTCTTCACTCGACATCCTGCGTTCGGAGAACCTGCTCCGCTACCACAATTAAGGTTGGAAATAGGGGGTCCCAAGGATCCCCAGAATACACCTCGTAGGTCCCAGGTGGATCTACTCCGATGCAGAACAATTATGTAAGTGGAAGAGGTTGGCTTCCTGATGGAAACCATTGTACAAAGTACCACAATCAGCAAAGCGCACTTGTTTTCCTATCTGAGATAGCTACAAATGATCACAGGCCTTCGGCCCAAGATGGCAGGCGGATTGTTTCATGATTGGGGGGGGGGGGGAAAAATAACCGTCCAAAGCCAAACCTCTTAGACCACTGCTAGTGTGGTAAACGCTAAACATGATATATCACAGCATTGTAGGAATCATTGGCCCCAGAGTACTTTGCAAAGCAGTCGATACTCGTAGGGACCCCTCAAAATGGTGCGCTAACATCTGCCCCATATGTAGACAATAACCAATAATCTCGCGGCATGGCCCTCCAGGGTCGATTCCATAACCCCTGTGCTTCAAGCAGCCGCTCCCGACTTCACAAGAGGGAAATGCCTGTTACCACCGCAATGTTTGGTGCGCCAACTCAACCTACCAGTGCCACGGATGAATTTGTGGTATGCGTTGGGCTCCGCGTTCCAGACGTGCAGGCAAACAAAAACATTCATGGTGTGCGCGGGAAAAAAAGAGGAAAACACATGAGAAAAAAAAGAGCAAGCAACACTAACGCAACCGTGTCGACTGAGCCGAACGAAACCACCCTCGTAGTTCCAGCCTTGCCCTGCCTGTCAGGGGCTCAAAGGGCCGGAGACTAAGACCTGGTCGGAGAGGGCTGCTTCCATTCGCACGGAGAAGCGCGGCTCTGAGTTACAATAATTCGCCAACCACAACCTGACAGGCCACGAGCACGACTGGAAAGACACCACAACCAAAAGCAACCCACGAAAACAAACAACCCGCAGCACATGCCAAGAACTATCCCCGAACATACCCTCACGAACAATGCCCAAAGACATGTCCGAAAGCCAATCCGAAGACATCCGCGCAAGCGTCCCCCCACGGCCCAAAGGCATCTCCCAAGACACCCCTAAAGATATAAGACCTTCCTCAAAACGCTGCTGAAGACATCCCAAGCATCCCCAAAAGCCACCCTTTAAAGACACAACACAGCCACGTCCAAGGACAATCCAGCAGAGAACTCCCGAACGGACATTTTCTGAGACACCCCATAGGCACCGCCAATGCCACCCCCATTGACAGTTCCCATCCACAAACACATCCCCAAATTCATCACCCAAGCACACACCCCAGACATCCCCGGAAGACTGCCCCCCAGACCCTGAACATCCTCAAAGCCAGCGGAAGCCCACAAAGACATCCCGAAAGACACACCACCCAAGAAACCGCAACGTCCCCAAAGACCTCCCCGCAAGACACCTTCCAGAGACACTGGACATCGCCCAAGACAATCAAAAAGACCTCCGCAAAGACATCTCCAAAACGCTCTCCGAAGACATCCCTGAACACATCACTCAAGACAGCCGCAAAGGCGTCCCCAAAGAAACCTGCAAAGACATCCAAACAGTCGCAAAGACATTCCCAACGA